TAAATTTGCCTCATTCTTTTTAATAGTTCAATATTATTTTAATAAAAGAATATAACAATGTTTTTTACTAGTCTATTGATAGTCGGTTTGGGAGTTACCTTAATTTGGGGCTACTGTGCAAAAAATACGGTAAACATTCTTGCACAAAGTCTTTGCATACATGCATGAATATAGAGAATAATTTCTATTCTTTTTAGTTGTTATAATGGGTTGCATATGCATAAACATTTTTAAATGGTGTATCTTTTCAAAATGTCATATTGCAAGACACCACAACTGCTTGAGCAATGATGAGAATGTCCTCAATCACCCTATAATTAAATTGAGAGTTTAGTACAGAGTTCTTGATTAGTAATTTCTGTTTAGTGCAGTACACTTATTTTATGTTTTTGTACTTGCGGTAACTTGAGTATCCTTTTGCATTAAAAAATCATTTCTGAGTTCTTATTATGGAAAAAATAGTCTTCCTCCATTTCCTGGTTTAGGGAAAGCTCAGGGAGGATGTCAAATCTTTAGAAATCTTTGAGGAAGCATGAGTTTGTTGAGAAATAAAATATGTTAATATAAAACAACATTGTAAGTGTTTCTGAAAAGCTCTCTAATTCTGCTTGGCCATTACTCTAGTGTATAAACATGCTGTGTGAGTAATAAACCACTTAGATCAGCAGTCCTCAAAATATCACTGAAGACCTTTAGACTTACAGTATAAAAGGGGATGGAATGAGGGGTGCCTGGGTCGCTCGGATGGTTAAACGACTGCCTTCGGCTCAGGTCATGATCCCAGGGTCCTAGGATCGAGCCCCACATCCGGCTCCTGGCTCAGCGGGGAGCCTGCTTCTCCCTCTCCCTCTGCCTCTCCCCCTGCTCATGCTCTCTCTCTGTATCTCTGTATCTTGAATAAATAAATAAAATCTTTAAAAAAAAAATTAAAAACAATAAAAGGGGATGAAACGAGTGCAAAGAAGTCACTTATTGTCTCCCCAAACTTATCTGAAATAAATAGTTCACATTAGGATAGTAAAGGCCCTTTAACTCACTATTTTTCAAACTTTTAGATACTTTTAGAAACAGTGTTCTATGGAACTGCTATAGGACTTTGTGTTTTACTGAAATTTTAGAGGTAATTGGGCATATGTGTTGTTGTGCAGAATCGTCATGTTGGATGTAAATGATGTGTAGCTTGGTTTTTGAAATACAGAACTTGTTCTGCAAGATAATCACCCAAGTGTGAAGGCCCAAGTGCCAAGGACACACCAAAAACCTATTCCTATTAAGAAAGTAAAGTGCCCCAGAATTCAGTTAGATCCCATTTATTTTTTTTAAATTTTATTTATTATGTTAGTCACAGATCCCATTTAAATTAGTTAGAACATGTTTCATTGGTAGCTAGATTGGGAATTTTTACATTTCAGTGGCAAATATAATTGTGGATGTGTTTTCATCAACATTAGCCATGAATGACAGAAGGTGATAGGACTCTACCAGATAAAGAAACTTCAAAATATACATATTTCTAAATTCTCACTTCTTTTATAGAAGGATGATGTTCATTTTTCTTTGATACACATTTAATATGTATTTAAAATTCAATAAAAAAGCATAACAGAGATTTAGAAAATCATCCTAAAAATGTCAACCAAACAGCCATCATATATTTGAACATAATCCTAGCCATCTCCTATATTCAGGAAGTAAGTTAGGTAAGTATATGTGGGGTAGCCAGCAAGGCAAGTAGGTAGGAAGATGCACAAAGGGGATCACACTGTATATGCTATTTTATTTTATTTTTTATTTTTTTATTTTGTTTTATTTTTTAAAGATTTATTTATTTATTTGAGAGAGAGAG